CCACAATAAGAGATGGGTAAAAAAATCCCACGGAAAACTAAGGTCTTTCCATAGTTTGTGTCTACAATAAATGTTTTGCATTTGCTTTACCCTGTGGAGTGGTGGCGGAGTGGTTTACGCACAACTCTTCCCTTCCCGATGGCACGAGTTAAGTTCCCGACCATGGCTAATACCAGTCAGGGGAGAAAGATATCTGAACTGGTGACCAACATGGTTAACTATGGTCAAACAAGGCCCACGACCGACAGGGCATGAGGACGCCTTCATAAAGCTGTGGAATGACAAAGGGCTGTAAATAATTGTATTTCTTACCACGGGTGGGTGCCTCGTCTCAATCGGTATAAACTTGGTTATTTTCAAGGAGCAAAAATTCAACGCAATTTCCAGTGACGTCGTTGCATACTGTGGATAGTTTTCCTTTGAGGACAGTGTTAGTGATGAATGTGTGGAGTTTTTGTGAGTTGTGCTTAAGCACCAATGCCGACTGCAGCAACACAAAAACATGTTATGGTTACAGATGAGAGGTATTCATCTACTCCTGGCTGAAGTGTAGCATAGAAGGTAAAACCTGGAGTATAGATTTAGGGTGACTCTGAATGTGTGTTTAAAATAATCTATCACACTGCTAATGTTTTTATTAAGAATTATGGCATCGTAAATGTAGTGTCATTAATTATATCCATTACCGCTTGCCAAAAAATATTTAAGTTCCGCAGAGTATTTGAACGGATAAAAAATATACAGACGCTTAAAATCACCGTGTCCAAGAATAGAGTTGTATTTCCAAGATGTGTGCTAATATTTATGGGGACCACCGTATTTAAACAGTTCTTTACAAGATACCACTAAATCATACCTTTAAACAAATAAAATTTTACTTATGCTTAATATAGGTTTTTTTTGTTAGATCGTGTAAATATGAATGTGTTGTTAAACCAGATTGTAAATGTTGTGGCTTTGCTCTCCAATATACCAGTGTGCTGTACTAGTAATGAATTTCAATCTTCTGTTTACGTGATAAACCTTATTAATTGGCTGTGTCTGTGGTGGCGGGTTCAACAACATTTTTATTTAGGCGATCAAACCCAAAATAACATATTATGGATATTGGTCGCGAAAGCCGACACGTTTTACTTATGCTATCAATGTCACATCATGAGGCAAAGGCATTTACATTTGGCTCTTTCACAATGAGCTGTGGACCACTTTGTATTAAGAGAAAGATCCTGGAAATTATGCTGAAAAACTACTTCCAACGTCCCTCAACGGGCCTCTCCGTCCTTACAAGACACGACTTCTTCAGGATGCCTGCAAACAAGTGTTAGTCGTTCATGAAACCCAAAAATATAGTTCTCAGGACAAGATTGATAACAGTAATTTCCAGCCCTTCGTCAATCCACTGCTGGATGAAGGCCTCCCAATGCCGTGTCGATCATGGGAGCACAGTTTGACCATATTTCCACCAAACTGCTCAGTTTGAGTTGATGAGATTTCAGAACCAGTTTTTAGATTACTTGCCAGTGATGTTCGCCAGGGCTGGAAATTTAACTTGGCTTCCTTGGTTCATAGCACTGTGCGCTAACCACCGCATCGCCATTCAACCCTATAGTTGGAATATACGCAATTCATTTTGAAATAGAAATGTAAAACATTTTTGCGCAGTCATTAGTATTTAGGCTGAGCTCATCAACTCGTTATAATTGAGAATGCATTTTCAATCACTGATGGATGAAACTCCAACTCAAACCCAGGCTCTCTGCAGGGCTTGCCCAGCACCCTGGCAGGGTGTTAGTCCCCCCCTGTACACACATAAAGCTATCCCTCCCCCCTCGTTAAATTCATTCCTGATTTGAAGATATGAATTTGTATGTATCTGCATAGTTTCCAAAATGTTGACAATTTTACAAGAAAAAAAATCCAAGCATTATGAATCAATTAACATTTAAATTGGTAGGGCCACAGCAATAAAGCTGACACAACAAAATATTTTTAATCTCCTGTGTCATTAATTATATTTCCATGCAAAAATGCCGATGCATAAATCCATGTCTAAGTAGGCACTTTAAATAGCATAACAGTTATGAGCTGAATAACAGTTTTTTGTTTGTGTATTTCCACCAACTATAGTGCAACTTTCTATACAACGTGCACGGTGTTAAAGACATAGTTCTGACTCTTTGAAATTGTAAAGAAAAGTAAGAGGGGGCTTTGGCAGGACAAGTTGCTCGAGACCAGCAGGCAAGAACAATGATGGCGTGGCAGCCACGGGAGGGACGCGTGCCCTGTGAGGACATCCACCGCAGAGATGGAGAGATGAAATCAGCTCATGTGCAGGTGGACTTGTACACTGCAGGTCAATGAGAGCAGGTAAAAGCTTGGGGAGGCCTTGATCCAACAATACACTGATGCCTGCTGCTGATGATATACTGCAACTGTGCTTTCAGTATCAAGGAAAAAATAAACATACTTTTATGGGATTCCCCAAATACATAAGCCACTCTGTAAATTGGGAAACCAAGTTTAAGTGATATCACAGCCCTTTGTCTGACATCCTTCAAGGATATATCTTTCCAGAACTCTCACTGATCTATTCAGCTCTCTCCTCACCTGTACAGATTATAGAGGCCAGATTAGTGTATGATTTGTTACGTGCAAGTCCAATTCGTAGTGACTGGGCTGAGACCATAAAACTCCCTGCACAAGACAATGTGGTTTTAATGACAGGAGGCTGCCTTATTTGAACCCATGAACTCAGTGGTTGGCTCTGCAATCTCACCCGCATCATTTCACATTAAAGTAAAGTGAAAAGGACTATTATATAAATCTGTTTAGACTATCGCCATGTGTACACGTGTGTTTTATGTGCAGCCAAATATGGCAGAAGAGTTATGCTTAGTTCAATCATGAAACATTTGGGTGCTACTAAATATATTAGCCTGAAGGTTGTTTTATGCTGTCTAGCATGTGCCAAAACCCTGCCACATTTACATAAACTGTGCTGTATCCTTTTTCCCTCGCCAGACCCATTGCTCGTCAGCTGCTCCCTGCCGCGTAACCTTGATCAGTTAAGTACCCCGCGGAGTTGTGAGTCAAAACGTTGATTTATGAACTGCACAGTGACCTCCTATTCAAATCCATCGTTCACAACTCGCACAGAAAAAGCTGGTACGTTGTGTACTGTGTACACACAATAGGGGGTATCTGGGAGCATGGGCATAAAATAAATACCTCTGTACATGACGTGACCAAAGATCGAATTTCATGCTACACTCCCACTGTTGTAGGGGAAGATATGTGACCATAGGTCATTGCGGGTTGAAGAAAACATCAATTCTCAAACTTACGCAAGTGACAAACAGAATTTTGCCTGTTAAGAAACAAGTAGGCTTGGGTAGGACACGTCGTTAGAAGGTATTATGTCGGGTGGGCGAGAATATTAACTGAGATGCAGTCAAAGGGGAAAACTTTCTCGAGAATTCCCTCCGCAGAGGGAGCGATGAGTCACTTATGTACATTTACTGGATCGACTATTGTATTGCAGGCATTCATCCAGCAGACGATAGATCATGGCTTATGATGATGCGGTATACGAGTTGAATGCATGGCTTTGGGAGCTCATAATGGCCATGTCAGAGCACTGGGCTGGCACTCGTGAGATCCCAGGACTGGCACCTGGCTAGCTGTTGCGTGATGAGGGTTCAGTGGTCTCTACCTCGTGCAGTCACCACTGACGGCATTATAAACCCACACCAAGCGATTTATGCATAAATTGGCTCAGTTCACCTTTGAGGGCCTCAAATCAGCAAATACAAGTGTTGACCTGAAATCCTTATAACTGAACTGTGGCCGAGCAGAAAGATGTCACTATTGTCACAATTAAATATGTCGTAGGCAGACGGCAGAAACATTTAAATTTACATTTAATATTTCACATGTCGTCAGCAATGCTTGTCACGCACGACCTTTGAATCGCAAGCATTTGTGGTTAAGTAGTTGGTCATGATTTCTGGGATAGAGATGCCCAACTCGTGTGGTAATGTGGGTAATTCGGATAATGGGAACGACACTTTTTTTTTACTCGCGTTACCTGTCCATGGAAACGAGGGTTCATGATTTACACACAGCTCGTCATCACTCCGAATTGCAAAATCCTAGTAGGACCGTCCTGAAAATAGTCTTGAGACTCACCGAGGCTTTTCTGGATAAACAAGCGAACGAAAAGAATACTGGAGGCCAGTCTCAATAGTGTTGTTGAACTTCTTTCGCACCGTACGTAGCCAACCGAACTAATTGTAGGGCATCAACTGCTGCAACTCAAAACGTGTGGCTGCTAAAACGACCAAAAGGGAAAGTGGGTCTACTGCTGAATGTTCAAAACCAGTGGATGAAGTTCCAAATTATTGTGGCCGTGACAGACTTCACCTCCACAGGACTCTTGGAATTATTAATTTGCGGAAAGCGAATTAGAATCATCACGTAGAGATGGCTCACGGAGAGAGCAACGAGTGGAGGAAGAGTTCCCAGGGGGCGGCAGACTTCACGTGAGTTGGAACACTGCGAGGAGAGACGCAGCATCGGTGCGATACCAGCCGGGAGATAACGCGCTCGCTTCTGCCGGCAGCAGAGAATGGACGCGCCAGCCAAGTCGAATGGCAGGCCGCGAGTGGTGGGGTAAAGTGTGGGTTTACGCCCGCTCCTTTCCAACACGTCTGGTCAACGTGGAAGAGTAGACCAAACACCACCTCTCGTGGAGGTCCTCCCGCCAGCAGCGGTGCGAGCGAGCAGCTGCAGGGCAGCACCTTTAACAAACGTGGACACGCTCAGTGGCCGGCGCACGCAATCTAGGCGAGCCGGGCGTCGGTTTGCGACTTAGGCCCCAACCCACCCCATCCACCACGCAACGCCGCGCTGCGGAGGAACGCGCCGGGCGCGCAACGCGACCACGCGGCGCGCAACGCGACCACGCGGCGCGCTAACTATCGCGTCCCCCGCGCTCCTACCGCGTCCTCCCAGTTCTGCCGGTTGTAGGTGTTGGAGCTCAGGGACATCGACATCTTGGCGGAGCTTGCGCGGCCTTGTCCCAGAAACCACGGTGGCTTCACTTTCCCCACAGCGCATGCGCGAAGAGGCGCGCGCCGATTGGTCGAACAAGCGCGTGTACGCGCCTCGCCGATTGGTCCACTGCCGCCGGCTTTACCAATGAACGGGGAAATTGAGCCCCTCCCCCTCCAACCCCCCCAGGTGCTGTAGGGAGCACAAACAGAGATCCGGACAGGAGACGTTCGGGAGCGTGGTACGATTCCTCGACTCAACACATTGTGCAATCGATTAGTCCATTTTCATCAAATGGTTCGGTCAGTGTCCAACGATTATTTCCAGGTGGTTTTATATCATTTATTTGCGATTGGTTAATCCTGCAGACGGTACAGTATAGATGCCTTACTTGCACGGCATAAACAAAATTTGTTTCTGGAATCGATTCGTGCAAAAAATATAGTATACGAACGTGAAATCGCGAGGGAATCGTTATCAGCCTGACACTTCCAGAAGAGGGATTTCAAACCAGGGCCAGAAGGCTGTCAAACATTCTTCTGTGTCGTGTATGATATGTACCATGTGTCGGTGCTGTATTGGAGGAGGAAATAGTCGATTTAATTTCCCATCAGCCATTATTTATCCACTGCTGCACCTCCCAAACCGTCTCCAAACCTTACAAGTCTTGCGAAGGAACGATCCAATTTGGCTGCACATGCGCCCGATTTGAATCTCTCTTCCGTGGATGACCTCTCGGACGTGTTTCCCTCCTTTGGCTGCCACTCCGTCGGTTGTCTCGACCAAGAAGTCTATTAATATGGAACGTTGGGCCAACGTTGGCCCGACGTTGCATGTTTACTGGGAATCTGTGATATTCTTGGGTGTTTCGACCGTGGTAACTGCTATGAATTAGTGATGGCGTGAGGGGTTACCAGACCGACGCTCACAACAACGAGCGGGGCGCCTAAAGCGAAGAGAGATGGCACAGTTGGTGCATATGTCAGCCATCCCAGTCACTCAACCGATGGCACCTTGGTCTGTTCTGTGACACGCCAGCGGGCTTCCGACACTGAACGTGGCCTCAGTGTGGCACAAGCGCCGTGGCGACGCCACCGCCATTAAGTTAACGGCAGTTTTGTATATATAACCCATCTTAAAAACAAGATGTTCAGGTAGTGCTCACATCCGCTAGCTCTGCGGTGGAAATTCCACATTACTTTGGCAGGAACCAATGGAAAGGTCATTACTACAATATTTAATAATTGCACATGATGACTGCCCGATTCCACAATGCACACACTGAGAAAAAGTATGACAATCATTCGGAATGCGCCCGATCTCAGAAGCTAAGCATGTGCCGGGCTCGCATCGTGCTTGGTTGGACGTATGACCACGCACGCCACGTGGCGTTTTCCAGAGGCGGCTGCGGGGCTTCCGTGTTGCTCAGCAGAGGGCAGTGCAGCAAACACATTGTGCTGTACCGCTATGCTCCCACGTGTGTGCTCCCCAGCCTTCACCAACCCTCACTGCTGACCAGCGTGGTGAAGCACTGTTTACTCAAATAATCCTCAAGACCCGCCCTCATCCAGTAGGGGATTGTAAATGTTTCTTTTATTTGTGAAATATATCACGTGGACGAACCACTTGATATGGAACATCTCGTTTGCAGGGTGTCTAGGGATTTACATGTCCTGTACTCTATATGTAAATAAAGAGCAAGGGTTTAGAACAGTTTAAGCTTGAGACAAAATCTGACTTTTCACAAAAGTGTCGCAGATAACACCAGGGCCGCCAGGCCGTTCGCTCGATTTACTGATGGCACCGATGTATGCGTATTGATGAGGCCGAGTGAACCCTGGCCAGGATATGAACTCAATGACAGAGATATCATCAGCGTCGTTATGTATAATATGATTTTGCGCCGAAATCAGACAAATATCGAACAAAGAGGGCCTTTGTCTATGCATGGTGGTCCAGATGTCTTGTGACCCCCAATTTCTTGCATATTCATTTCTGTTTTAAATAAACCTTCCTTTAAAATGTTTTACGTTTTACATAATTAAATAAGGGGTCACAAAACATCTGGACTGTTCTATACACATCTGGCATTGCACCAAAATTGGTTTTAAGCGAGCCTGACCCTGCTGAAAAGAGACTGAAAGTCGAAACCGATCCAGGGACTGCTTGAGCTGGAACAATGCTGCTGAAATGATGCACTTCCAGAGGCTGTGTGGTTGGTGGATGTGTAAACAAGGATTTTGTTTGTGGACTGGCAGATTTATTAAGGAGGAAAATTGCGCACTTAATTCATGACGGAAGCGTGGTGGTAGTAACACAGCTAAACTGATTTGGGTGCGATTCCCATCCGCTCCGGATATTGGGCTCCCTTCTTTTGCATGGGTTTCCTCCGCGTTATCCCAGTTCCCTCCCACAGCTAAAAAGAGACAAATATCCCGCGTCTAGACTAAACAGGCTATTGGGGCAAGTGCTGTTAGTGAGCACCTACCAAGGCTGGAACGGCACACGAGGGGTGGGTGGCCAGCACCACGACCGACCGCCTTTGTCTCCCCAGTGGCGATATCTACACATCGCACATAAAACCCCCAATATATAAAATCGAACTGGTGTTAGCTATACATCCTAAAGCATAAAATTGCCTGCAAATTACGAAATTGTGATTACCTTACAAAAAATTGTTTAGACTCGGGGAGATTTTCTTGCGTAAGCGTCATAATAAGAATAACAATGACCAGTTGAGCTCGAGTCTGACTCGCCAAGCAGGTATTTAGTCACCAAACACGTCTCGTGGAATGTCTTCCTCTTCGACTTGCAGCTCGCAAACATCCTTGCCCTCGGTGGCAGCTTGACTCGCCCAAACCAGCGCGGCCAGATTCCTCGAATTCGCGAATTAACGCCGCGTGCTGATTGGCCTCAGCAAGAGGCGAAGATGCGCTGGCGCTCTTTCAGCGGAGCAGCTGAACCACATTGTGAGACGGTGATCACCGGCATCATCCACAGCCCCTCTGGATGAACGTGTCACGCTGGACTTAAACGCTCGGGTGAAGATCGCCAATGGAATAAAGGCGTTCGCGTCTTCCTGGGCGAAACAACTGGTAAGTCAAGGATATTATGTAATGGCTGTTTCCTTTAGCTACCGAGATTTTGCCTTTGATGTGTTTGGTCATTGTGTGGAATGAGTGTCAGATGAACTCTTTTTTTACGCGTTGCTGAACACAGGCCCAAAGGCTCGTGTGTTTATCGACCAACAACACACAGCACTCTGATAGATGTATTGTACTGAGGTAGATATGAGTTGATGTTTATTCAGTTGAGCAAGGTTATAAGATGTTGGTTGGGGAAAACAGTAAATGGGCTGGAATCCATAAACGAAGACCATTTTCAACGAGTCAAAAAAAGTCAAAATTTTAGTTGTCAACTCCGTGATCTAAGGTCTATTCACTGCTGAAGGCCTCCAGGCCGTCACCAGATATCCACGATAAACGTACAATCGGACAGCCGGTGTGTCTTCTTCTAAAATGTGGCGACTGTCCTGTAATGTCAATGTCCCACAAAACTCATTTTCAACCTGAGGGATCATGCATGAAACGGAGTCCTGACCAGCGTCTGGACTCCGATCGATTGATTGATTGCTGGAGCGCTAACCAAAGTGTTCCTACCCAGGCAGGGTTTCAGTAGTTCTTAAAACTATTTTGCGTGTACTGTAAGTGTATATAATGAAGTTATATAAACGTTGCAGCTGTGGTGACTGTTACATTGGGGAAACGAAACGTCATGTCTCTGATCGTGTCCGCGAGCACAAGTCAGATTTGAAACACGGCAAAATTGAGTCGTCCGCCGTTGCCGATCATTGCTACAACTCGGTGGGCTCTCATGAGGTTGTTTTCTCCGAGACTAAGGTGCTCTGCAAGCCTTCTGGCTACCATCAAAGGTTTGTACACGAAGCCATTCAGATATACAAACACAGACATTATTTCAACCGTGATGATGGGTACAAACTTAGTAATCATTGGAAAGATGTTATCAACCATGCAAAAAAGATTTAATTACACATTTTTGAACCATCTTATCTGACAGGCACTATTTTACTTCACCGAGTGTTAACATCCCTAACGTGTAACAGTACTCTTTGTCAGCCCACACTGGTATAAACATGGGCATTTCCGCTCCTTTTCTATTATGTACATCCACAGTTACTTGCGCAACACGTCCCTGACCACGAGTCCATTCATCCCACAGTGACTTGCGCACAAACAGCAAAACCAAGAGCGGCTTAATCGTATCTAATTCATTTACCCACCCAGCAGTATAACAAAAGCAGTAATTGACCACTTCACAACTCCTCCTCCCCCACTGCCCTTCCTGGCTCTTCCCCCCTTAACCACTATATAAGGTACAGATATTTTAAAATCCTTTATATTAAGTTCGCTTGCTTGCTTGCGTGCTTGCTTGCGTGCTTGCTTGCTTACGACCGTGCAAATCTTTCGGTCGTTTTTTAACCCCCTTCCCGTGACCCAATCGAGCTGACATTTTCCACACAGACTCGTTGTGCGAGACAATTAATGTTCGTGAAAAAAAATCCCAAAATTTTACACTTTTTATGCAAATTTTTTTATTTTACATATATTCAAATAGAACTCATTCATGGCTTTGGCTGAACGTCACAGTGTAAGAGCCCAGAGCGTAACCCCTCCACAGGCCATGGCGGAGTAGCGCAGTTGGTAGCGCCCTCGCTTCCCATGGCAAAGGTCGCGGGATCGATCCGCGCGTCCTCCACAGGCGAATATATTTTTCAATCCTTTATATTAAGTTCGCTTGCTTGCTTAGGACCGTGCAAAGCTTTCGCTCGTTTTTTAACCCACTTCCCGTGATCCAATCGAGCTGACATTTTCCACACAGACTCGTTGTGTGTGACAATTAAGTTCGTGAAAAAAAATCCAAAATTTTACACTGTTTATGGAAAACAAATTAAATATTTAATTACCAATTGCTTAATGGTGGCAGACAATCATCTGACCCATAGGTGGCAGCCATCTCAAGCCAGAGGACGAGAGGACTCTAGCCGCCAC